ACTAGTGACGTAGATGGGACAGTGGTCTTAAGACTCTTTCCTCACTAAAAAATCTATTAGAGATAAGCGAATTGTCTGTAGATGAATTTGGTGTGACCTTAAAACAGGTGATTTTAAGGTCACACCAAATTAGGTGACTTATCTGAAGTGGTGGTCATCAGATCCGACAGTGAGTTGAAATCGTCGTCACCTTTAAATGAATCTGTCTTGGAAGACACAAAGGCGGCACTGAGTGCATGAAGCGAGTCATCGATCTTGAAAGATCCTAGAGACCCGCTTTATCCTATGACTGGTGTGAAACGACCCACCTTCCAATCTGCCTCCTTATCGAGTTGTACGTCATGAAATTGACCTGGTTCCTGGAACAAAAATACCGTGTGATGCGGCAATGTCTCCTACCAAAGAAGCAGTGTGAATTCATTAACGAGTTCTTTCGTGCAAAGCACGCGGCTGGTATGGTGCATCTCTCCGCACTCGACACCGGCATTTTGTGTCAGAAAGCCAAATGGTAAGTGACGCATTGTGCATGTTTACAATAAGCTCAATGCAACCATTATACCGGCACAGACGAAGAACATTCTAGAAAGGATGTTCTTCGGAACGCTATGGTAGCTTGTGACATGTTCAGTGCACTTGACTTTGTCGACGGATTTAACCAGCTCCTCGTGCAAGCGAGTGATATTCCGCTAACAGCGGTGAGTACTCCGAGCGGTATGCTCTGGGAGTGGCTAGATATGTCACAATGGCTGTCTAACGCCCCGGCTGCTTTTAACCGTCTGGTGACGTAACTAGTACGACCTCATCAAGGTTGCGCACGGATTTTCTTTGACGACATCGATGTCCATATTCATGCAACGAATGGTCAACCAGATGTGGATAACCAGATTGATCATCTACGAGCGGTGCTCGAGTGCATGCACACGAATAAATTGTACGCTAACGCGTATAACTGCATCTTGGTGCAGAAGAGATTACCTTTCTAAGGTGCTTTGTTGGGAAGCGAGGCCTTCGGGCGGACCCCGCTAAAGTAAAGGCCATAGTCGACTGGCCGGTTCGTAAGAATCAAAGGACTTACGTTAGTGGCTTGGCCTTGCCAATAAATTGCATAAGTATAGTGCGAATTACGCAGACATGGCTAGGCCATTATCCAATATCCTTAAAAAGGATGTGGATTGGTGTGGGGGTAGTACCGGGCACGATGTTTTTGAAGCGGTTATGAGAATCTCCTTCATGCGCCAATATTGGGTTTGCCCGATCCTGATCGGCCCTTCAATGTTGTCTGTGTTGCACCTGGTGTTGCCATTGGCATTGCTCTGTTACAAACAGATGTTGATAGACGCGAGAGCGTCATTGAGATCAAGTCTCGTCAGCTTAGAGTTGCTGAAAAGAACTCTCCAGTCCATGACAAAGAGCTACTCAAAATGAAGTATACTCTAGTCAAATTCAGAGTACATCTGCTTGGCTCATAGCCATTTGTGATCTATACAGATCAATCTTCATTGAGCACTGCGACACAGTCGCCGTTCTCTCTTAGAGAATGGCTCGTTGGCTTCCTTTCTTTGCAATATGTAACTTCGAGGTGAGTTATAAGCCAGGAAAGCAAAATTCCCTGGCTGATGCGCTACCGCGTCGACCTAACTATGAGCTTGCTCATGCTACGACACTGTCAAAATCAGTCCCTGACTTAATTCGTGAGGCTTATTCCAAGTGTTAACAATGTGTAGCTTGGCTACGGGCTATTGGGAGCGATAAATTTTAAAGACTTGGACATAGAATTGTCGCGCGTTTACGTGCAAGGCTACATCGATATTCCATTGATGATGGCTTGTTGTCCTATCTCATCGATATCGAAGACACCCCTCGTGTTGCTGTCCCTCTTTATGAGGAGTTGAAGTATCGTATCCTCTACGAAGCACATGATCCTGCTTTGAGTGGTCATCTCGGTCGTGAGAAGACCTATGGCTCGGTGATCCAGGCTTATTGGTACCCCAAACTAAATAAATGGGTGAGTAACTTTCTGCTTACGTGCGAAATGTTTCAACGAGTCAAACTCTCAGCACATGCGGCTGCGCCGCTGGCTAGTCTGCCTGTACCCACTAGGTGTTGGGAGTCCATGAGAAAGGATATTGTGTTCGGCCTACCGAATAATTCGGAAGCCAATACTGATATTGTAATCTTTGTTGACCGTTTAAGGAAGGTGGATCATTTAGCGGCTGTGCTAGACACGATCGATTCTGAAGGCATCAGCCGCACAGCAAAGCTGTTTATTGATCGTGTTTCGACAACAGGGTTCGCCCGTGGCAATTGTATCTGAATGAGATCTTCTCTTCACTGGAGAGTTCTGGAAGTCTATCTTTAAGGAGCTCGGCACACGATTGGATATGTCCACGGCGGATCATCCGCAGACCCAGGGTCAAACTGAGCGTGTTAATCGCGTCATTCAGGACATTTTGCGAAGTGTTTGCGCTGATACGCCACGACGTTGATGCTCAATGCTCCCTGTTGTTAAATTTGCACTGACAATGCTATTCATGATTCCACAAGATTTACCCCCTTTATGTTAAAGGTCTCACCCATCCTCGCGTTCCGTTAACGCTACCACTCTGTGGTTTAGGGCTTGGTGGGGGAGAGGTTGCCAATAAGCTTGCTGATATCATTCCTGCTACTGTTCGAAAACAGGTAGGCGGGTTTCTCGAAACGCGATTGAATGTCTTACGACATGTGCAAAACGAAAAGTCTGATAGCCAAGATCAACATAACAACAAGCTGATGCTAAAGGCAGAAATCGTATTGAAAGTCATAAGGTCGGAGACCAAGTATTACTAAATGCTTAAAACCTACCTACAAATGTAGTGTCTGCTGTCTTTAAGAACAAGTTGCGTACACACTTCAACGGACCGTTTACGGATACTGTTTAAAAATGCCTTGCATATACGCTCAACCTTCCACGCAAATTGCGCACACACCCTGTGCTCTACGTAGGCTTACTTAAGCCGTACCGGGATCCTTCCCATGTGAACTTTGAGGTGCTGGTGCCAACGACGAGAGCGGTGCCTAGGACTGCTGCAAGCAAATCAGCAAGTCCAATTGAGCGTCGCTTCGAATAAAGCATGCTCCATCGCCTAAAGGCGGCTCTGCATCGCATCAAGCATTCACTGGGGCTTACCTAGGGTCTCTTGAAGACCGTTCACTTCGAGATTTAATTTTTTGTGAACTGCCACCGGTACACCGGCCACCACCGACGCCGCTCGATGAGCATAAGTGTCTTCAGTTTCATGTTAAGAGATTATTGAAACGACGCCGTCGTCGTGGCCACTACCAGCATCTGGTAAAGTGGCGTGGGTACCTTGAGTCTGAGAACTCATGGGAGTACGAGGTACCCCTACGGCAAGATTGCCCTTATGCTTTGGTGTCTTTGAATATCGTGGCCAAGGTCATCTTTATACAGAGGCCGTTTATCACCTCTGGTAATGTGAATAGGCGGGTTAAAGGTCATCGTCTGACCGACCCTCGCTACTACCGTAGTACCTGAAGCATATCACGTGGGATTACGGAATTGGCCTCTGGCCTAAAGATTGGCATAGTCATACCGATGCTTGCGTTAGATACGCAAACCATCCCCATTGGCACTAGCTCTTAAAGCAGACATAATGATGAGGCGACGGTGCGGTACACCCAGCGGACGAATGCATTATCTTCTTCGCTCTCTGTTTCACCTGAAAACAAGAGAATGGGTACACCTATGATCGGTGGGACCGGTGCACCACATCCTTGCATGTCAAGGCGTGCCTTGTATTGACCTTGGGTAGTTAGGTGAGGCTTCAGGTACCTTATGCGAAGTACCTGTCTACTCGCCACCTCCTCAGGAGACTTAGGCCTGTGGATAGTGATCCATGTTGTCAACGATTGTCCGGCTGCTTGACGTAAGCGTACCTTCACACTGGGTAAAGTGAACAGATAGTCAAGGTGGTGCTCGAGGGTTGCGACCATTTTTGCATGGCGCCGTGTGCTTTCTCCCTGTTACAGAAGTAACCCTTGCTGCTCAAGGCGGGTTCGTGATGATGGTATCATCCGAACCGAGTGTTGAGCGTGGCTTCAATGGCGAATTCTCATTATCAAGTTCAGGAAACGGACAGGGGGCAGTAAGAATTTGTACCTCGGACATGGGTGTATCTGACATTGTCCCTGCATCAACCCGGACACTGGTATCGCTACCATAGTCCAATACCTCCCCCATTTCGAGGTAATAACTTAGAGTCTTTGACTCGTAAGGTACTGAGGACATCGTACTTAGCTTTACGTTACCGTGAGGTGAACTGCAAGTGCACTGACTTCGTGGAAGAACAAAATTCGATGGGAACGTGTGATTTGAACAAGGTTTGATTGAAGTATTGGGGAACTTGAGTCTGGTGGGGGAGGGTGTAAAGGGGTTACACGTAGTTGGGTACTTTGTAACGGGGCACCCTTTTTTTGGGGTGCCACGAAACTTCACGTACACATGTACGTGCAGAGGAAGTTAAACTACTTGAATGACTCGGTCAAGTAAAGGTAAAAAGAGAACTGTATTTAATATAGTTAAGCTATCAATGTAACTTTAGTCTTTATCTAACTAGATTAAACTACGTCGTCGTATGACGACAACCTGCTCACCACACATTGCGCGCGTCTAGCAGCGATTGGTGGCGATCTATGGTTGACATGTCTTATATCAACCAATCTTGGAGCAGCGCTTGGATATAATCCAAAAGGGGATAATATTCCTTCGATATTATCCATCTCGGAAATATTGGTAGAATACTGTCATGCTAGACAATATTCCTATTGACACCGTTTGGTGTCAATTTCATGTAACGGCCTACCCCGTTCTATCACCCCCCCTTTTAACCATCATTCACCCGCTAATTAAAGTATAATTGATTGGGGCAGGGGGACCACCGTTGGATCACTCTGGGAAAGGGAGCACTTGTTGGTCAAATTCCATTCATTTGCCAATCCAACGCATGATTTCGAAATCCACGCGAGCTGCTACTGCAGCAGCTAGAAGGGCGGCTGCACGCATGCGTGCGGCCGCGGAAAGTGCCTCTTACGCCTCAGCAGCAGGCAATTCGTCGCCTGTTGTCGTGGATCCTCCACGTGGTGAGTCACCACGTGCGACGGGTACATTCATTGCGTTTGCAGCGAGTACCTCGGGTCGTAATCAAGACGAGTCTGAGATAGATCTTATCCATTTCGGCGAGACGGAGGATGTATCCAACTCGAAGGCGACTCCTCACGCCTCCGGATCACCCGGGGCGGACACTGCAAGAGCCAGATTGACTGGCTCTGGTCAACGCGGAGGTATTATGACCTCGATCTTTGGATCGATTAATTACTCCGATGAGTCTCCGCCTCACGCAAGTCCTTTTAACGATAGGACGCGTGGAGATGGTGGTGATGCACCTAGGTATCACCATGAGCGAAGCAACTCAAGGGATCGGGGTAACACTGGTTCCAGTGCTCATGCTGGCACCAATTAAGAGACCGGGGACCATAATATCCTGCGTCATGCTCCTCAAGTGGAGTCTCCTTGGATGCCGTCATCCAGAGAGTCGGACCGGTTGTCCGGCATTACCACTGAACGGGATCGAATCCGTTGTTTGATTGTAGGAGGATCTGCCCTCCTAATTCCAGAACGGAAACTATTCGTGCTGAGGAAGAATTTTTCACCGATGCATTTTTCAAACATCGTTGGTACAATAGCAGCCGTGTTCGAGATGGCAAAACATTGGTGCAGGGATGGAATTTTCTCATCCACAACATCGAGTTTATTGTCCGTGAGGCTTGGCTCGCCAAACTTGATGCAGCTCGCATCAGGTCTGAGAAGCGCAACCCAGTCGGGGTGCGATACAAGTTGCACCGGCTGTCAAGAGAGGCAGGATTACCCTGTCTACCGTGGGGTGATTCGTGTCCAGGTTGCCTGGACAACTCGAACCGTGCCTCTAGGGAGGCCTACATCCCTAATGATTCCTAATGGAGGGCGCACATCTCTTCTGAGATGGCCGAAGGGATTGACACTTTGCAATCCATGAAATCGAGTTCGGGGAGGTCGTTTACCGACGGCCCTTCTTCGAACGCAGCGGGTGGTTCTCGTCACACTGCTCGACGAGACCAAGAACATTAAGAATCAGCTGGGCACGAGGCTCCTAGCGGTCCCACGCCGGTGGATAGCCACGCCAGCGGACGAGGTAACTCGTCCGGACGCCATTCACGTCGCGGTAGTTTAAAATACGCTCCACTAGGAAGCATAGACCACCGCTTGAGTTCACTATAGGATGTGATGGCGGTGGGAACACATGATCCGGCTCGAGGGTCGGATCAGCTTGATGTTCAGGAGCTGAACCGTGTTACGGAACAGTTGTAAGATGACCTGGCTCGTGAACGGACTCGGCGTTACGAGCTCCATGATCTTATAAAGGATAATTACAGTGTCTTAACGCACGATTGTTCGGACGTTGTGCCGCGTTTGCGTTCGCACATCTTAAAAACTAACGTTCTACTCGTTCTCTTCGTGACGAGCTGGCTGTGTGTTGGAGTGGCGACCGCTTTTGATGAGTCGATCTCAACTCTCCACTGGCGCCCGGACGACCGACTAACGGAGGGGGTACTCCGATTCCGTGTGTGTTGCCTTCCTCACCTTGTGTACCCGTCGGTAGGGAGGGTTGCACTCTTCCAGGTGGACTCGTGTCGAAGGAAAACTTGACCGTGTTGGGGATGGGGTTGTAATCGTGCGGAAATCTTCACGCGATTACGAGGTACTTGTGGGTACTTATTTAAGTCACCCTGATCTCAACGAGATCGCCTTGTCCACTATGGGGTTGCTTGATCCGCGAGCCTTCTGACCACTTGAGCCGTCTCGCGATCTTGCGCCTTGCCTCTACGTGTTTTGCTGCGTCCGATCGCAGTTGATGTTGCTTGAGGGTTCTTGAACACACCTGGCCAAAACAAACCAGGTGTAATACTTGCGTAGGCGTGTAGCGCGACTCTTTATTCGACGGGGGGCCTAATATTCTACCCAGAAGAGATAAAACGTGCCTTGTGAAGTAAATTGAACTCTGTTTAATGTTAACCAACCAACCTAAACCCTACCCTTATGCCTATCCGTATATCCTAACCAGATGTCACGCGTCGCCTTTCTAGGAAGATCGTCCCCTCGCATTTGTGTGTTTAACACCCAGTATATCAGCAGTTGTATCTTCTTGTGGCCCACCCAAGATATCCCCATGATCCTGCTAGCGGATCGTGATCCTGCTAGTAGATCGTGATCCTACCAGTGGATCGTGATCCTACTAGCGGATCGTGATCCTTCCAGAGGATCGTGATCCTACTAATGGATCGTAATCCTACTAGCGGATCGTGATCCTTCCAGAGGATCGTGATCCTTCCAGAGGATCGTGATCCTACTAGCGGATCGCAGCTGAGATCGGACTTGCGATCCTGGGTAAGGATCGCGGTCTTCTAGTGAGATTGAGGATCTTGTCTTGCCACGTCTCTTGACGGATCGCGTAATCAAAATGGGTGTGACCACCCTATAGCCTCGTCCCAGGCTGTACGATCCTGTCCACTTGGGGTCTAGGTACACTATTGCCAGCCACCCGTCTCGGCCTGTATCCACCAATCATAGCATTCTTGGCTTAACTGGGGCGTGCGATCCGATCATTCGCCGATCCAAGACCCGATAGAAATTTTCTTGTGACCGCTTTGCCACAGCTGCAGCTCGTCAGGACATCGCTGAACTCCGTGAACAGGTCGCTTCGCTAGTCGACCAGACTGTCTTGTTGAAACGGGACCACTCGAAGGTGGTCTCGGCTCTCGACCGCAAAGTTGTTCTTCGCATATCGAAACGGGCTCGTACTGATAGTACGGCCGAGGAAGACCAACGTAAAACGTAGGATGCATATGCATCTTACGGACCGTTCAATCGTGTATGCGTTGCCCATTCGGCGCAACACACGAAAAGGACCGATATGCTTGGTCAGCAATTTACTGCTGCCCACGTTTGTCACTGCGTGTTTTGGTATATTTACTGTAAACAGTAAAACTAAGTCTCCTTCATCAAATAAAAAAACATTCGCTCTTCCATGTTTGTCTGCGTTTCTTTTCTGTCTGTCTAGTGCATCTGCAATAGAGTCTTGAACGAAGCGGACAACCGCTTTGCGAGTCAGCAGAAATTCATCTGCTGATTCATGATTGCAACAGAAGTGCGCTTCGTGTGCACTGCTTAAAGAACGTTGTCTTCACCAGTGAGGGCGTCATCGTTCTCACTGTGACAGTCATTTGTCGATACTGAATATGCCAGCATCGTCGTCATCATCATCAGTGATATCGATCGCATCGACATCGGCATTTAACACGTCGAAACCATTGTCGACGTGTGATGACAAGAATTAGATCGGTTTTTGTACGAGCTAGTCACCCCCCCTAAAACTAGAGTCACACTTTAAAAAGGCGGGTAGACGTGGATGGCTTAGGCCATTCATGAAGAACGGTGTTTGCGTTGTAGACGCGTGCACCGAGTTGTTGATGGCGAATTCCGCCATTGGCAAGAACTCACCTTAGCTCGTGAACGAGTGGACATAACCTCGAAGTATCTCTTCGAGAACTCGGTTGACGCGTTCTCTCTGACCATCTGTTTCGGGACGGTCAGAAGTTGACATCGTCAAATGTGTTCCAAGTGAACGAAACACGGGTTGCCAGAACTCCGTTGTGAAGCGGGGATCCCTATTGTACTCGATTTCACGGGGTAACCCGTGAAGTAGGAAGATAGTGTCGATGAAGACACGCGCACAGATCTGTATCGATGAAGACACGATCACAGCCCTGGACTGTGATTGACTCCGATACAGCAACAAGTTGTACCATCTGGCTGAATAGGTCAACGAACACAAGAATACCAGTATTCTTGAGAGCATCTATGGATTTCTCAGAGACGAAGTCCATCATACGGAATGCCAACACTCTGCCGAAATTTGTCGAGACTGCAAGGGTGCGCGGGATGAAAGAATAGGCTTCACCCGTTGGCAAACTTTGCAAGCACGGATTTACTTGCGCACATATCCATACTGGCGAGGCTAGAAGAAGTCACGACTTCCCGTGATGTAAGTCGTTTTGCTCTACCGCGATGCCCACTTATTGGGGCATCGTGACGCTCATACATGATGCGCAATCGCAAATCATTATAAGCGGAAAGGAAGACACGAGGTGTGTCGCCGTTGACTGCTTCATAGTACAGCAGTCCATCACAAACAGAATACCGTTCGATTAAAGATCGGTATTGAGACGCCAAGCTTTTAAAGCTTGACCGCATGAATTAAATACGTAATACATCAATCGCAGAAGAGAATCATCGTCTGCACGTGTTTTCCGCACTTCGTCGAGCAGATTCGATGGCGGAACACTCACATATAGTGTCGCAGCAGTGGGACCATCCCTACTGTTGTGTTGAGTAGTCGGCTCGAGATCGGGCCGACGCGAAAGAGAATCAGCAACGACTTTAAGTCGTCCTGGGTTACACTCGACGGAGAATTAGTACTCCGCGAAGAAAGACAGCCACCTCGCCATTAGTTGCGAGAGGTGTGGACTGTTTACGGCCGTGCGTAATGACGCATGGTCGGTACAAACGCTGAAGGGCCTATCTCCAAAGAGATATGCCCGAAACTTGGCCAGTGCATATTTCTTGGCTAGGAGATCCTTGTCATGCACCGGGTAGTTTAGCTCAGCCGCTTGCAGCTGACGCGATTGATAACAGATGAAGTGCTCAACGCCGTCTGAGTCGTACTGCAATAACGTGCAGACGATCGCAAAATCGCTGGCGTCACAGACCACATGAAATGGACTGTCCTGGTCTGCAATCGCCAACACAGGCGATTGTATCAAGCTTTTCTTGATGCTTTAAAAGAGTTCTGACACTCAGCGCTCCATGACCAACTCTCGTTTTTCTTCACTGGACGAGAGAGATGTACGGTCATCTCAGCATAGTTGCGTGAGTACTTGTTCAAGCACGCCGCCAAGCAAAGGAACTTTGAAGTCCTTTGACGTCGACTGGCACAGGTCAGTCGCTAATCGCCTTGATCTTTTCGGAATCAGGGCGTACACCTTTTTTTACCCACGATGCAGTCAAGAAGTGGCATTTCGGTCGCTGCGAATATGCACTTCTTGAGGTTCGCGAACTACTTATGCTCTCGCATTAGTGAAAAAACCTTCCGGACGTGGATTCTATGAACATCGACGACTGTCTTTCCATCCATAGCCCGACTATGGACGAAGACATCGTCGAAGTAACTCAGTGCGAAGTCGCTCACCGATCGCAACAGATTCGTAGCACATCTGTTAAACGTTGCAGTGGCGTTACGTAGCCCCTGTGGCATCACTAGCCACTCCCAGATCATACCACTGGGTGTGCTCACTGCTGTGTACGGGATGTCCCGTTCACGCATGATGATCTGATAAAATCCATCCATTAGATCCATGGACGAAACGATGGCACTTTTTGCCACACCATCAATGATGACGTCCTCCCTTGGTATCGGCGTTTGAGCCGGTACCGTTGCATCGTTCAGTTTGTTGACTGCGTACACTATCAGCCACCCATCTGTGGCCTTTCGCACACAAAAGGTCGGAGAGCTGTGTGGGGATGTTGATTCCCTCACATGAACAGCCGCTAAGCGATCGGCAAAGAATTTGTCGATCGCTGTTACCTGTTCACGAGGCAGTGGCTACTGCTTCATGACACAGTACTTCGGCCAGGTTTCAGTTCGATCTCGTGCCGAGTGCATTTGTCCTTGGGCAGTTCGCATGGCACGGATTCCGGGAAACATCCCTGACCTTCAACTAAATCGTTATACAATGGATTTGTCTTTAAAGCCTCCCAAGATTGAGACGTGTATGGCTCAATCCGGGTCTTCTCATCGAAGACACTCTCTTCCATCTATGAGCTACTGAGAACCCGTTCGTCCTTAGCAAACACTTGTGCCGAACGAATATCGGCGACATACTCGTCCTCTGTGACGAGTACGCAGATCTGCTTGATCTTGTCACTACGCAGATCTCGCAAGAATCTTTTAGATTCTAGTGTTGGCAACTTGATTACCTCCGAATATGACTTTGGAGTTGCAGCCAGATCAAGTGTATAAGCGCCTACACTTGATCCGTCATTCACCAATACATTCACTGTCTCGGTGATTTCCTGGGAAAACACATCCGCAGGTCGTTGGGGATCCACATTCTCAACGTAACTCTCTCGGGAGTTATCGCTCTCAGGAACGCTGGAAATTTCATCTAATTCGTGTACTGACTGTGGGTGCACTACTACAGTCACGTCCTCTTTGATCGACTCTCTTTCAGGCGATTGGGCTTGCTCTACTATCGACTCTGTGACAGCCGATCTCGCTTCAACGTGTTGTTCATCCTGAACAACACTACTTTCTCTTCTTGGATGCACCCTGCTTGGTGTGCATCCGTGTTCCAGTCCACTCGATCTCTTCGAGTGGTGAACCTTCGGCGCAGCATGTGTCTCTACACAGGTGCCGGTAGCTGGTTCCACAGTGTATTTGCCTTCTACACTGTGATCTTGTGCAGTCATACTACGACCATACCACAAGTGAGGCCATCGCACTCACTCTTAGTACATCCACACGCTTGTGGACGCTCCAAGACATTCATAAGATGGCCATATGATGAACAAACGGTAGACAGCTTCACGGATCGATGCTGCCAGCTGATCCGTGGCTAGTTTTTTCAAAGCCATGGCAGACCGAGGATGACATCAAATTTGTCATCCAAATGCAGTACGATGAAGTCATTATCGTACTGCTTTTTTAACACGTTGGTGAGTGTGTGCTCGTCGACAGGGTTTTCCGTGACGCTACTCGCAAGATATTCTAGGTATTGAGCATACGCGTGCACATCACGCTTACCTTGCTTTAGCCTCAAGAGTGCAGAATGTGCTTTGAATTCAGCTCTTGGCAGCTCAAACGTCTCTTTGAGCCGAGACTTCAAGATCTCTAACGACTCAAACACGTTTGGGTCGTGAATCTTGAGCCCCAAGGCCCAATTCTTTGCTCGTCCTGTCAAAGTGGACAGGGAGAAGGTGACTTGCATCTCGTCACCCTCGATGTGACGGGCCCTGATGGTGTTGTCTAGCTCGACGAACCATCTCAAAAGGGAATCTTCATCGGTTCCCTTGTACCTTGATATATCAATCTTCAAGGTTTCGGGTCGAGAGCATGCGCGTAGGCCCGCCCATCGACTGATGAGAGCCTTGCTGTTGTAGCAAGGCTATCGTTTGTCTTTCCACGGCAAATTCTTCTTGTAGGAACTTGTTGATAGCAGCATGTTGCTGGTCTCTGCTTAGAGACTCCAACATACCACTGATGGCGGGGTCGCTCATGAGCACACTCATGCGGCCGACTACCTCCCATTCTGAGTCACTCAAATGGGAGTAGCCTTCACGTGTGACGTGAAAGCTGTCGTCTTCTACGTCCAACATGTTCATGTTGGACGGACACTAAGTAGTCGTTGGACCGACTACGAAGTGCTACCAGGTGTAACGGGGCACCCTTTTTTTGGGGTGCCACGAAACTTCACGTACACATGTACGTGCAGAGGAAGTTAAACTACTTGAATGACTCGGTCAAGTAAAGGTAAAAAGAGAACTGTATTTAATATAGTTAAGCTATCAATGTAACTTCAGTCTTTATCTAACTATATTAAACTACGTCGTCGTATGACGACAACCTGCTCACCACTCATTGCGCGCGTCTAGCAGCGATTGGTGGTAATCTGTGGTTGACATGTCTTATATCAACCAATCTTGGAGCAGCGCTTGGATATAATCCAAAAGGGGATAATATTCCTTCGATATTATCCATCTCGGATAATATTGGTAGAATACTGTCATGCTAGACAATATTCCTATTGACACCGTTTGATGTCAATTTCATGTAACGGACTACCCCGTCACATACTTTGTACCCTGTGTCTTAGACACACGGATGAAACTCCACTGAAAGAGATATAGAATATCTTATCGATGCATAGGGGCTGACTGGTGTCAACTTATAGATAGGAGAGATCTTAGTTGTACTAACTTAGGATGTAAGTGTCTAGATACGTATTAGGATATTCAATAGGTGTAAATGTAAATAAAATTTAGTTCCCCTTATGATCATAAAGACACGTGCCTTGCGAGGCGTCTTTGGTCATTGATCACTGATCACTAAGAGTTAGCAACACCTCCTTGAGGTAGCTAGTTACTCTTGAGCACTGAGTGTTGTCGATTCACTGAATTGTTTGGTCCCATAGAAGAATGTCCATAAGCTTTACGCTTGTTGACTTATTGATTCTAGTTCTTTAGAACTAAGTAGCTCGTCGAGCGTTAAGTCATTTTCTGGCTTAAGGAGCTGTGTAGCTCCACTACAGTATAGGTGGTGCGCACTGTATGTGTACTCGATCCCCCAGATAGGTATAGGTGTATCCCAAGTCACTCGTTGGCGGGGTTACTATTGTGACGCACGCTTATGAATGGCCTAAAATCGATTGAAGTCGTATCTGATCACATGAGAAAATGATAGATGCTCACAAGCAAAGTCTGACCGCGTTGCCCTAGTATACTGTACTTAATTACTACAGACATCAAAAACGTCATACTCACCCTTCAGTGACTGATGTTGTATAGTGGTTTGTAACTTGTTCAGTTCTTCGAAGCGAAAGACTCAATCAAAGGCTAGCTACAAGATCTTACAGTTCGACTGTGTGTGTACTTATCAAAGAGTGGGCATGAATCTTTAAATTTCTTAGATTGTTGTGATTTTTTGCGTGTTTTTTTGTGACCTGTGAAGTCATTGGTCAGATGAATCGTGAACATGGCCTGCCCTTTCGGACGTTTCAAAGGCGGATTCGAGGTCCTGAATTCGTCGGTCATCGTTTGGTGGTGTGCAAGCCCACGCGACAAGCGCTGCAGGACGTTTACAATTGCCTTAGTTGTCTATGAAAACTCGTTTATTGCTTGCCTAATCTATTGCGTTTCCCTAACTTCATTTCGCTTGGATCACTCTCGTTGCTGGTTGCTCTTTGTTGAGACACTGTGCACCGCAAGCTGCCGAACATAGCACAAGGACAAACGCATCGGCGCTGGTCGATTGAGCAAACCGCAGCAGCACGTCAAGAGCCTCGAGACGTACGAGCAGGAGGTCCAGTCGCTCCGGTGGATGCTGCATCAGTCCCAGCAGGAAACGGCACACCTCGAGACGGAAGTCCAGCGCCTACGGGCTGCACTGCTTGGTACAAACAGCAGCAAGTGAGACGACGACGACGACGATGATCCCAACGCGATCGGTATTTAACTCTAAACGACGACCACACAGCAGGTCTCCGTTCCTTCCTCCTTCCCCCGTCTCTCTCTCGTGCTTTCGACCGCGTACCAGTCGAGCTCCCGACACATGCAGACGCTAGTCGAAGGCCAGACACTGCTCCACGACGGCCGCTACCGCTTCTTGCGACGCATCGGCAGCGGCACCTTTGCCGTCATCATGCGGTACAAAGTCCTCACTCGACGCTCGTCCACTCAGTCGGTCCTCCTCGTCCCATGTCCCCTCATCTCTCTCTCTCTCTCTCTCTCTTTGCTCTTTCGTTCCCAGCGCTTTGGACGTGCAGCACGAGCGCCACGTGGCTATCAAGTGCGTCCGCCAGCAAGAGCTCAACGCATTGGGCGAGCGGGAAGCGGCCATTCTGCGGCAGATCAACGACCAGGACGCGGACGGAGCTTGTGCCGGTACGTAGTACTCGGCCGTTGTGGCTAATGGTTCAAAGAGAGGACGCTCGCTCGCTCGCTCATCATCTGTGTCGCCCTCTCCCTCTCACCTGCTCCTTGTGCTGCTGCTGCGGTTGCTGCTTCTGCCTTCAGTGGTGCGTCTGCTGACCACGTTCGAGGAGCAAGGTCACTTTTGTCTCGTGCTGGAGCTCCTGGGGCCTCCTGTGCTCGAAGTGGGACGGTAGAGTCCGTGGCGTCACGCGCTCAGTGGAGCTCGAGCTGCTCCAAACCAGACACTGCAGCTCTTGAACCGCACGCGGCACTTGTCCGCTCCTGATGGACTCGTAGCAAGCACGCAGCAGCGGAAGCAGGACGTGGATGGACCTGACGTGGCTGGGTTGTTGGCACCACCTGTGTCGTTACTGGACATACGGCAGATGGCGGCGCATCTCTGCGGAGCACTCGCGTTTCTCCATGACCAGGGACTCATCCACGCAGACGTCAAGCCAGAGAACGTGGTGCAGTCAAGTCCAGAAGCTCCACTGAGACCGTCGGCGTCAACGTCGTTGCCGTGCTCGTCACCAGTCAAGTTGGTGGACTTTGGCAACTACTTGGGTGCAAACGAGCTAGCGGCGTATGCTGACGCGGACGCTTGTGGCGGCTTTGACGTGCAGACCGTCACGTATCGTGCTCCAGAAGTGGCAGCAGGTCTCTTGCTCTGCTCGGCCATGGACATGTGGTCGCTCGGCTGCCTCCTCTTGGAATGCGTGTCAGGGAAACCGCTGTTCACACCGCCACCGCTCGAGACGTCGGTGCAAGAGCGGGCAGACGTCATCAAGGTTGAGAACGCCCATCTCTTGAAGCAGATCGAGCGCATCGTGACAAACGGAGTCCAGCTGGATGCTACGTGCGCCCCGTATCAGTCTTCTGCATGGTATAACGAAGAAGCCGCAGAGGAATGCCAAAGGGTTGGCCATGACAAGCAAGCGGAGACATTGCAAGCACGTCTACAGGCCGCCGCTCCCGGGAACCACCAGCTTCACGACTTTATTTGCAGTCTATTGGACGTCAACCCCGCCACGAGAGTCACTGCAAAGCAAGCACTCTTCCATCCCTTCCTGCAAGCCTTCTTCCCATTCGAAACCGTGTTTGCTCGATCGGATGCTCGTCCAGCTAGCTCAGAACGTGAGACCAGTCTTCCTGCTGCATCCGCATCAACGGGAGCTGGCACACAGCGTAAGGCATGGCGATCTCGATCACGCGAACTCGAGGAACAAGAGGCTTCTGACCGAGTGCGAAAGCGTCAAAGGTCAGCCAGAACGGTAACGTTAGCTCGCAGTAAGGACTTGCGTCAAGTGCTGAAGATGATACCGCGACACCGCTTGCCACTTCCGCCACGCTGACGTCCGGTGACAGCGCTGGCTGGACATCGATATCGTCGTCTACTGTTGCTCAGCGCACAGCCACCTCATGGCTTGATAGTCCACGAGTCCGATTCGGAGGCGTCTGGGGCTTCTCGAGCGCGCTGGTCCCATGCGGCCTCGAAATGTCGTGCGCATACTGTCTTCGCCTCGACGCCTTCGCGAAGGGCGCGGAAGGCCGCTTCCTTGCAAATTGATGCAACGTCAGCACCCGTGAATGTGTGAGAGCTGTGATGAACAAGCATCGCGAGGTCAGTAGAGTTTGAATCGAACGCTTTTCGGCAGTAGTAGTTGACACGAGTGCAGTGTACTGTACCCTCTCGGTCGCGCCGCAAGCTCTTGGATGTCAACGTCTGTAGCGAGCGGCATCTTTCTCGTGTAAACCGCAAGAAGTTCCTGGTTGGCACAAGCATCGCTTCGTTACTATAGCCTGACAGATTACCACTTGTAATGGTGCTGCGTACCGCAACATCTTCTTGCGTTGGAAATCCCAACACGACAGTCTTGTCCATTCGACCAGGACGGATCAGGGCAGCGTCCAGCGCATCTTTCCGGTTGGTGGCAGCCACGACAAGGATGCCACCGCTCTCGACAGCAGGCGACTTCTTGACATGTGAAGTGGATACACTAACTCGTTGCGAGCCCACACCGTCCATCTCGTTGAGGAAGGTGGAAAGCACTCGGGCGTAGACTCCTCCACCACTGCTGCCTCCATCGTTTCCACTAAACGATCGCTTGTGAGCGATGGAATCAAACTCGTCAAAAAACAAGAGACACGGTGAGGCGGCACGTGCTCGAGCTGCGAGCAAGCAGCAGTTGTAAGCACACAATCAGTCCTCCTGGACAGACTTGGGTATAATGCGGCAAAGACGTACCGAAGAGCTGGCGAACTGCTTTTTCGCTATCCCCAAAGTACTTGGACAGCAACTCTGATGACTGGAGTCGAATGCATAAACCGCGAGGATGAGCCTACTACTGGTTGTTGTCACACAGGTTATAGGAAGACAATGTAGCTCAACTCACCTTCACGGATACAAAGTTGACTCGGGCTTGAGCTGCCACAATTTGCACGAGCAGCGTCTTACCGCAGCCTGATGGACCTGACAGCAATATCCCTGACGCCTCGGAAATGCACAAGCGCTACAAAGATCAGGATCGTCAACGAATGGACGACGTGAAACCCAATGCGAACACCACACACACCAAACGTACACTCATCGCTGCAGTCGGGTGGAATTTTCGAGTAATGAAGTCCCGCAGTTGCTGTCGAACAGCAGCATAGCCAGCAAAAGCGAGCTTTCCATCCCCATGTGCACCAGGCGATGACACGTTTAGCTCTCGCAGCTGAGAAGGTTTGATGTGCTGCTGAGCTCGCAATAGATCGGACCATCCGATAGATGACTCGGTCGGATCGCCATCAAGAGTCGATGCGGCATGCACTTGAGCAGTCGCGTATCGACAGATGCGTACAAGATCTTTGGCCACGTAGCCCCCACTTAGTGCCGCCAACCGTGACGCTAGACTTGCTGCATGACCATTGCCTTCACTGTCTGCTCCTCTTCGTAGTGGCAACCCGACCAGATGCCGTTGCAAAATGTCTCGTCGGCCTTGTTCTGTCGGGACGACCAAGTCCACAACTTTGTCAAACCTTCCAGCACGCTTAGCTGCAGATGGTATGTTCACATCAGCACTTGCAGTCGTCCCAACCACAACGAAACGTGTGGAGCGCAAACTCCGTTCGTCAATTAGTCGGAGCAACGCGCTGCCAAGTGACGTAAACTGCATCTCGGAGCCGTCGGCGAGCTGGCCATCCACCGATTGGAAGAGCATCTCCAAGTCATCGATCAGCACAACGCCAACACATGATGATGACCCGCGTTTGGTCTCGACGTCAACTAGAGATCGTAATCGGGGAAAGCGCTGCTCCAGTGCGTAGACCAAGTACTCATAAGCTGTTGGAAATGCTGAACCTTCAGCCGTCATGAGCAACGACATACCGTCAATCCGCCACGTGGCGATCTGCTCATGAACAAGCTCCCGCTGCAAAGCCACTAGTGCTAGCGACTTCCCCACACCTTGTACACCCGAAATGAGTAACCCGTGAGAGCCAATTTGGTCCATCTCCACACCGGTATCAAGTCTCCTTTGTTCGTGCTTTAGCACAAGGGCAAGTTGAAACAGCACGTCTCGCACGAACGCAGTGCATCCTACAAAGCCAGTCTGCCACAGCCGAGTGTTGAGCTCACGCTCGTACGATGAAGCTGCCGCTCTGGTGGAATGCTCTTCCCGCATGCTCAGCGTCGCGACCTTCTCCGTCACTTCTGCTGTAGCCTGCTCATCAGCCAAAACTTCCTCTGTCGCACTCCATCCTATCACAACCAGGTGCAACTTTCCATCCAACTCTCGCTTCTTCTCGACCCCGTCGATCCGAAAGACGTACGTATCTCCCAGGAGCCTCACCGGCACCAGTTGTCCTTCCAGAGGAGCGTCAAGCACTCGTGCAGCACACAGCTGACGACGCACTGCTCTGTCCAGATCAATCTGTCGCTTATGTACGCTTTCGGGCAGCAACTGAGCGCGAGATCCGCTATCGTCCACGCTTCCAGAGACCGCAAGGGGCGGAAAGCGGGTGTGCAGACTCAGCGACAGTCGCCAAGACAGAGCGCCCGCGTGAACCTCAGCGTCCACTCCGACAGGCTCGAGCGTAACCCTCGTGTCTTCCACTTTTCCAGCGACTTGCAACGCCCACAGATGCAGCTGAATGCGTCCCCTACGCAGTGAAGCACCGGCACCAGCAGCTGACGGGCGACGGTCGACCACGCTCTCCAAGACGAGCACCGAGTGAGACGATGCAAAGCGGACACGCAGGAGATCCAGCGGTTGGATCGACTGGAGAACTGCATCGTCGTGGGAGAGGAGCACCTGGTGCGGCTGCAAGAGCGCGCTGCGCGTGTCGCCGCTACTTGCTCGAGCGTGCCAAGTCATGACTTTCGAGTGCGAGGCGAAGTGTACCGGGGTCAGACTGGAACAAATCTCATAATCAGTCCCACAAATGTCCAGCAGTTCCAAAAGCAGTCCTATAGTTTAATCCAGTCTATTTTATCGCATTTGTACTTACTTGTGTTGAGTGTGTAAACGGATGAAGTGGTCGCCACGTTAGACTTAGCTGTAACATGGTATGACAAACCGCTTCATTGCTATGATGCGTCTCTAATTTTGAAGACAACCGTCACATAGTGGTCGCAAAACGCCCCGATTTTACCAGCAGTTCGGTCACTTTTAGATTTGCACCCACGCATCGATGTGCTCACTCGCAGTGAGCACAGTGCGTGCGAGCGAGGCCCCGGTCACACGAACGCGACGAGCTCGTGTTTGTGGGGACCTAGTTAAGATTCAATACCGTTCGCGAGTAGCGGTAGCAGCAGGCCAGCTCTTGCTGTTGGTGTCGACTGCACTGTACAAAGAGCGGGTGCTTTGTCCGTGTTTATGTGTTGCAAGTATGGCTCACGGGCATGTAACAAGCTATTGAGCACCCGTGACAGTTCGTACGCTGGGAGAGCAACAGGTCAAAATTTTGCTGTGCCCGGTGCCGAATGTGCGGCCTGACGAACACGTACGCGTGTCGCGTGGTAATTACGTCAGCAGGATATCTTAAGATGTATTTAACGCGAACGAATCTTTACAAAGCTTGTGGAGACACGTATTATATTCACAACGGTAAACTTTGAGCGATTACACACTTCTCCGATTCCAGCGCATTGTTATTTACACAACGTGCATGCTACCGGTCAGCGAAGCTGCATTATAGAAAGCATTGCTCACTGTTTCTTTATACGCATTAGCACCGAATCTCCGACTCCTTATGCACAGCTTGCGTGGCGTTGGTACCTGCAAAATCGACTGAGGCTGTCGTCTCCATCATCCGTGCTGCGGTCTTCGACACTCTTACTAACAAACAATGAGCTCTATCTGTCGTAACCACATTTGTGCCAACCTTTTCTTTGCACATCACAAGCTGTTTCTCCTTCAGCTCCCGCAATGACATCTCCAGCATACCTCGAATGTGCGAGTTCGGTCTGCGGTCTCTCGGCACTCCTATCTGCGTCTTGTGTGCACCATCATACACGCGTGGCTTATCACTAAATGCTTGCGACTTCGCAAGTGCTTCCAGACAGTCCACTAAACGCTATTCTTTTCATGTCGCTCATGCGCTGGCAGCGAAAGTCACATACTCACGGAAGTTATACCTATTCATTTGCACATCTCAATCAGCACCAAACACAGCAAAACTGAATGAAGTGTGCGCAACTATTCGCGTGACGATTTTTTTCTAAATGGATATACTCACTGACAATCATGCAGTTTCTTATCCCATGTTGCAGCTGAGTATAATGTTGTTAGCACTATTTACGTATTAATTTAGACTTGACTGAAGTAAATAACGGGTTTTGGGACTTTTCGACATTTCTGGGACTGATAATGAGATTTGCTCGCCAAACTGTTAGAGTTTTCCGACCGCACCACTTTGTTTTGGCAGTTGCTGCATGAATGACCACGGACACTAGTAATACGGCCAAAAACACCTAACCCAGCCATTCACAGCTCATTAATTTAATTGTTTTAAATATATTATGTATGTACAGTCTTCCCTCTGCTAAGTTATAGACTTGGTGGAAGGCAAATCCTATAACATAGCAGAGGTTATTCCATAGCAGAGGTATGCTGCGGAAAAATTATTAATTTAATTAATTAAAGAATCAAAAACGCAACAAACCTCCAGGCTTCCAAAACCTGTCTGTCACGTGTCACGTGCCCTATGAAGATTTTGTGATTTTGGTTGCCCCACCAGTCTCTGGTGATATTGCTATCTCTAATTAAGAAGTTCCACCAACTGTACCTTGCTCACTCACAACAGATGTCGCAGATACGTCTTACCAACGAGCAGAAGCTGCGCATCTGCAAGCACCAGGATGCTAACCCGCGCATCACCCAGACTGCCCTGGCGGCTTGGACAAAGGACGCCTTTGACCTCCAGAAGGCACTTTCCCAGGCAGCGATCAGCGAAATCATCAAAAAAAGGAAGGAGCTTGAGGCAATGGACACCACTGACCTCAGCGCTAAGCGTCCTCGGACTGTCCAGCACCCAGCTGTGGAGGAGGCCGTCGCCTTCTGGGTCTTGCAGTGCCAGCACCGTGGGGTCGCTCTCACTGGAGATCTCATACGGGCCAAGGCTCAGACCTTTGCGGGATCAATGGGCGTCTCGGAGGAAAACATCAGCTTTTCGCATGGGTGGCTCCACAAATTCCAGCAACGCCACAAACTGCGAGCTGTCCGCATTCATGGCGAGAGTGGCTCAGCAGATATGGGCGCTCTAGAGGAGGCTCTTCCACACCTCAAGGCCGTGGTTGCTGGTTATGCGCCACGTGACGTGTACAACATGGACGAAACTGGTAGGTCTGAGAATACAGTACAGTACTGTACTCATTGTACAGTACAGAAGCATCTCAAAGGCTCACTTTCTGTTCAGGTTTGTTCTACAGTATGACGCCCGACAAAACGATCGCTTAGCAAGAGGTCAAAGGGTTTAAAAAAGACAAGGTACATTATTGCTCTCCTCTTGGTTTCCTGCGTTTCTCTGACACTAACAACTATTCTAGACGCGCATCACAGTTGCTCTCACGGCAAACGCTGATGGATCCGACAAACTCCCGCCGGTCTTCATTGGACACGCCAAAAAGCCGCGGTGTTTTGAGCGCAAGACAGCTGAGCGACTGGGCTTTCTCTACCGCAACAACAAGAAAGCCTGGATGACTGGCATACTCTTCCAGGAATGGCTGGGAGACGTCGACAAAAGTATGAAGGTAATTTGGGGCATGCCTTGAACATCATCGTTGTGGTACAGTAAAGGAGGTTTGACTAACGCGTTGACCACAGCAAAAGGATAGAAAAATCCTGCTTCTCATGGACAACGCCCCTTCACACATTATTGCTGACCTGGAACTCACCAACATCACGGTCCAGGTTCTTCCTCCTAATACCACTTTAAAGGTCCAACCCATGGATGCTGGGATTATTGCCGCATTCAAGAGGCACTACCGCCGGCTGCATCTGCAGAATGCCTTGGACCGTGACGAGCGCGGAGAAACCAACCTTTACAAGGTTGATCAGCTCACGGCCATGCGTTGGTCGCTGGCTGCGTGGAGCGAGATTTCCAGTGCCACAATCGCCAACTGCTTCCGTCATACGGGACTCATGGACGGTCCGGCTCTGCCGACTGGTGGGGGGTGAAAACGAAGCCGGCACTGTTGGCCAGCAGGCCCAGCAGGAGGCAGCAGCTGCTGCAGTAGAGGAGCAGCGCGTGGAACAGGATATTGTTTCGGCGCTGGAAAGGCTCCCGCTCCGCAATCCCATGTCGATCGCTTCTCTTCTCAATCCGGCTGAGGAGGAGGAGACGGCGCATGCGGAGCTGACCGATGCCGAAATCATCAAGCTTGTTGAGGATCCGTATGGGAAGGAGGAAGGTGCTGCTGAGGCGGAGGAGGAGGTGGAAAAGCATTCGAAGGCTGAAAAGCTTGCCAGCCTTAGTCTATCCATCGCCCTTCTCGACCTTTCTCAGGAGTCCCATCGTATAGCTCACCGGACCCTTCGCTAAGTCCAAGCTGATCTCCGTAGTGCGAGCACCACTCAGGCCACACTTGATTCCTGGCTGAAGTAGTTCCCTCTCCTCTTTCCACTCCTTTCTTGCAGTGAATAACAAAAAAAAGGTTCTGCGTACAATATTTCTGCTCACGGCGGACAAAAATATTCCCTCTGATAAGTTGTATTTGGCCCTCAGGCTATTCCGTATAACTTATTCCGTAGACACCATAGAACGAGGTCGGTGGAGACCGAATCCTATAACTTACCGGAGGTTATTCCATAGCCGGGGATAACTTAGCAGAGGGAAGACTGTATGTCAACGCGTTTCTCGAGCCGCCTTGTCACAAATATGGGACAGCTTCCTCATGCGTCGGGTTATCTCTCTGTTTCTACTATTCTCCCTCTCTTTAGGTCTGGGTCCATCTGTTGGAAGATCATGGGCATTAAGTGCACATGAGCCGCCGCCGTTAAGATACAGTGACCGATTTACTAGTGAAGGGTCGCAGGAGCAAGACTAAATTACTGCGAAGGGTTGCCGTGTGCATGATAGAGGTCTCTTTCTAAATGCATTAATGCATTTTATTCCCCGTTCTACTCTATTGTACACACGCGCAAATCGTACTGTTTGCCAACAGGTTATGAGCCCAAGTTTAAAGACTTGGTAAGAGATCGTGACGCAAGCACGACAGCACCTAGTCTACGCAAGTAGAACAAGTCACGAAAGGGAATAACAAGGGGGACCAAGATGGAATGGCGAGGCACAGCACAGGAGGGGCATGCCGAAGAAAAGAGTGAAGATAAGCGCCGCCAGTGGACCAGGCGGTAGATCTCGCAAGAATGCTCAAGACGCTATAGAAGATAGACAGCCGTGTTGGTCAAATCGAGGCTCGTCAAAATGGGAGCAGCTGTTTTGAAAGCGCTCCAGAGTCTCCTGCTTCGCCAGCGGAGGTCCCTCACACAGCACCGCGAGGTCAAGGACCGTCCACGATTGGTCGTGCAATACCTGAACTTGGTAGAGCACTCACACTAAATGAGCTTGGTGACAGTGGATTTAAGGGCAATAGTTTCGTCAAGGGTCGGGCAGAGAACACGCCTTTGGAAGACCCTCGGTTTAAAAAACATTAAGCATGGCACTACCAGGAACGATCAAGATTCCCAAGCTTATGAAAAAAAAATTTACGGGAGAAGAGCAGTATACAGGCCTCAGCACATGATTCTAGCAGTGGGGTATACATTACTTAAGGCGATCGAGGTGGCCGAGGTTTAAAGTAAGTTTGCGTGGGGATAACGCCTTGAAGTAAAAAAACCGGGATAATATATGGCACCAACCAGTGTGGCTGCAGCGTGTTTTTTAGGCCAACGTGAGGACATGGTGGGCGGTCAATACGACGTTGCACCACGTACTCGAACAGTTATACCAAGCTTTCAAGGTGACGATCACGCACCAACAGGCCGCCGCATTGTTTGCAAGTGGAAAGGAAAAGTCGCGTTCGTGGAACCATCATCTCTTATACCTGATGGCATTGTGTAAAGAAAGCGAGTCACACTAACGACTCGTCGTGGAGAATATCGTTAAGTATGCTGCTCCGCACCTCAAAAATGCGATGATGGTTCGATACCAACCGGGTCGCACAGACTACCTCACACACACTCAATGGCTCATCGCATGGGCACAAGAGGTTGAGGAAGATGTAAAAGTGGTTAAAATGACGAAGGGCATTGCCAGTGCAGTCGGCCATGACAAAGTTTAAGGTCACTCTCATGGTGAAGATCGAAAGTGTTTTAATTGCGACAAGCGAGGGCATTTGCCGAGAAAATGCCACCAACCGAAGAAAGAAGATGGACGCGGGAAAGCTAATTTTGTGTTGGCTGCATGCGAGAACCCGAAGCACCATTAAACAAAATAGTCAGCACCTAGCTGCGTTTTTGACATCACAGAAGGGATCTCATACTCGTGAATGGTTGATAGTGGGGCAATTAGACACCTCATTCACGACCCTGACTTGCTCCAAGATGCCACGGATTGTGATGAAAATGACAGGCTCCTGTTTCCTGACGGAGGTGTACTTAAGGTGACTACACGAGGATCTGTGGTTCTACAGGGTACTGCTAATGTTATCAAGACCCAGATCACACTTACTGAGGTTGATAATGCACCCAAGTTGGATAGACACCTCATCTCTGTAGGCAAGTTGTTTGAAGACGGGTGTATTCTAAATACGGAAAGCGATGTGATGTGAATGCAGCTAGGTGAAGATGTTCTCTTCGATTAACGAACTTAGTATAAAGTGTTCGTAGCAGAATTAACTCGAAGTCTGTCGAAAATGGCACCAAAACGACTGAATGAGATTGTGATGACGGCAGTTCAAGATACAGGACCCAAACTCGATGTACAGAAAGGATCGCTGCACCATTTTCATCTTCGTCTTGGATACATAGCTTACGATGCCGTAGAGCGTATGGCCAAAGATCCAGATTATGGTATTGAGCTTACTGATCACGTGCGTGCAAACTGTCTCACGTGCGCTGAAGCAAAGAGCACTAGGGCTGGACAGCCCAAGAACGACTCGGGTGTAAATGCACCAACGGACCGCGTCGGGTGTGTGATCTGTAGTGATATAAAAGGACCGATCACCCCAGGGACCGTCGTGGAAACCTATATTTGGTCGTGTTCATTGACTACAAGTCAAATTACGTGCGCGGATTTGCGGCACAGCAGAAAAATGATGCGGCCAAGATATCTGAGCATTTTCTAGCGTATTATGAAAACGAGCTCAATTGCCGCATTAATGTCCTGCGCACTGACGGCGGAGGAGAACATGAAGTGGTCAGTCATTTATGCAAACAGACAGGCGTTCGACGTCAAGTAACAGAAGCAGATTATCCACAATCTAACGGGAAAGCTGAACACATGAACCGCACCGTCTTCAACATGGTGCGCTCAATGATTTATAATTCATATTTAGTGCTTACATATTGGAGTGAGGCTGCAGAGTATGCTTCATACATACTTAACCGGAGTCCGACTCGAGCAAATTTAGGGCGTGCGTCGCCGATTGAAGTACTCAACGGGCGAGCACCGAGTTTGCAAGGTATCATTGTGTTTGTGTCTCCGTGTATGGTTTGGCGGGACCCTTAAAAGAAGACACTGGAGCGTCATAAGGAGCGAGCACTGAATCTGGGTAAAAATGAACAAACAAAGGGATACAAGTTGTTGCTGCTCAAGGACAAAATCGTCGTGACGACAACAAGACATATCAACAACATCGAAACACTTGAAGGTACGGCGGATAAACAAATTTAGCATATAATTCACTATCACAGAGGAAAACTACTGAACAAGTGCAAAAGGAAGTGAAGAGTAAGCATCGGATGGCACAATTTTTTTTGCAAAGCCGAAAGAGCCAGTTCCGTCAGTTCGGAGGAGATCACAGCGCAAACTTATGAAGTCGAGGAAACAAGAAGAAGCAGACAAGCATGGTGAAGGTAGAAGCATGGAAGCCTAAGAAATTGTATGTTCACTTACCTGTTCATATGAAGGCAGATGCACAAATGTGGAAGAACTGTAAACGAGTGCTGAAGAGTTGCAAGTGTCGTATTTAAAGCTTAAGGCTTTCGCAGTACTGCCTGTGGAACAAGCACATCAACAAAAACCCACGATGCCAGACCCAGAAAATTAGAAGGCAGCGCGTCGTGGACCTGATAGTGCCAGGTGGGCGATTGCTAAACAAGAGAAACTTGCGTCGCTCAAAGGAAACAAAACATGGACAGTTATTTAACGTCCAAAGACCTCGAATCCTCTTCCGACTAAGTAAGTTTATAAAACCAAGATGAGGGCAGATGGGACTGTGGAAAGATACAAGGCGAGGCTGGCGGTTTGAGGCGACAAATAAATATTGGGCGTAAACTACATCCTCACTTTCTCCACTATGATTCCGGTAAGACATGCATTTGTCGTTTTTACGCTTTCACGGATGTGGGGGGTGCCGGCTAGGCATGAAGACGTCCCAAGCGCGTACCCAAAAATATTTCACGGAGCCAGAGTACGAGATTTACGTGAGAATTCCCGATGAAAGGACAGTGACACAAAACACTCTGGACCGACTTGGCGCAACGGAGCCCGATGAACTGGTGTTGCTCCTTGGACGGAGCCTTTATTAAATTGATTTAGGCAGGATGACTTTGGCAATAATTGTTGTGCGACACGCTGCTCAAGATTAATTTGAACAGTGCATAACAGATACGTGCATTTTTACAAGGTTGACGAGGATAGAATGACTATGTTGGGGTCTATCTTGATGACTTGCAAATTACAGGTACGACAGTGCAACGTATTGACTTATTCTTTGCTGACATACAGGTGCTTTAGTTCAAGGATCTCGGTTTTATTGAGAATTGCGTGGACAAAAGAAGGAGGATATTGGATCCACCAGGAGCAAATTACTGAAGAATCGCTCGAGAAACATGGTCTGGATGAAGCAAACCCAGTACTATAACCAATACTTGAAGTACACGTGGTTAGAGGAGACAACGAGCTGTTGAAAATAAGGCTGTGGGATTGCATCGAGTACCGACTATTTAGAATTTCAGTCTGCAATTAAGAGCTTGTTATGGATGTCGCGGTGTACGCGTCCAGAAATTTCATTTGCTGTGCACAGGGCGACTAGGCGAAGTCATGCGCCGACACTACAGGATTACAGGCATGCAAAACAATGCTAAGGTACTTGAAGGGAGAGAAAGGTTATAAGCTGCATTTTTGTGAAAATAGTGAGCCCCAGTCGCCCATCAGGATTGTCAGTTTCAGTGATGCGGACCTCGCGGCTGAAACTGAAGATCGAAAATCTGTAAGTGCAGGTGTGCAGGTGGTTGTCGGAATCACTGTAGGGTGGTGCTGCAAGAAACAAGCTGCTGTGGCTCAGTCAACTCCGGAAGCGGAATTCGTCGCTGCGTCAGTCGGTGGCCGTGAGGCGCCAGGATTAAAGATCCTTAACGAAGAGCTCGGGCAGCTAGTGAAGACACGTGGTGAGTCACCACGTGCGACAGGTACATCCGCTGCGTCTGCAGCGGGTACCACGAGTTGTAATCAAGATGGGTCTGAAATAGAGCTCATCTATTCTGGCGATTCGGATGGTGTATCCAACTCGAAGGCGAAACCTCACGGCTCCGTATAACCGGGGCGGACACTGCAACAGCCAGGTTGACTGGCTCTGGTCAACGTGGCAGCATAATGCTCAAGATCTTCGGACCGAGCGATTGTTCCGATGAATCCTCGCCTCACGCGAGTCCATCCAACGATAGGACGCGTGATGATCGTGGTGATGCACCTATGCATCACCACGAGAGCAGCAACTCGAGAGATCGAGCTGTCACTGGTGTCAGTGCTCGTGCTGACACCAATCAAGAGGCAAGGGACCAAAATGTCCTGCGTCACGCTCCTCAAGTGGAGTCTCCTTGGATGCCGTCATCCAGAAAGCTGGACCGGTTAGCCGGCATTACCACTGAACGGAATCGAATCTCATTGTTCGATTGTAGGAGGATCTGCCCTTCTAATTCCAGCACGGAAACTATTCGTGCTGAGGAAGAATTCTTCACCGATGCGTTTTTCAAACATCTTTGGTACAATAGCAGCCGTGTTCGAGATGGTAAAGCCTTGGTGCAAGGATGGAATGCTCTCATCCATTACATCGAGTGCATTGGCCGTGAGGCCTGGCTCGCCAAACTTGATGCAGCTCGCATCAGGTTTGAAAAGCGTAACCCAGCCGGGGATGCGATACAAGTTGCACTGGCTGTCAAGAGAGGCAGGATTACCCTGTCTCTCATGGGGTGATTTGTGTTCAGGTTGCCTAGAAAACTCAGATCTTGCCTCTAGGGAGGCCTACCTCCCTAATGATCCCTACTGGAGGGCGCGCATCTCTTCTGAGACAGCCGAAGGGATTGACACTTTGCAACCCCTGTACTCGCGTTCAGAGAGGTCGTTTTCTGACGGCCCTTCTTCGAACGCAGCGGGTGGGTCTCGTCATACTGCTCGACGAGACCAAGAACATTAAGAATCAGCTGGGCACGAGGCTCCCAGCTGTCCCACGCCGGTAGATAGCCACGCCAGCGGACGAGGTAACTCGTCCGGACGTCATTCACATTGCGGTGGTTCAAAATACGCTCCACCAGAAAGCTTTTATCACCGCCAGAATCCATCAAAGGATGTGGTGGCGGCGGGAACACCTGATCCGGCTCGAGGGTCGGATCAGCTTGATGTTCAGGAGCTGAACCGTGTAACGGAACAGTTACACGATGATCTGGCTCATGAACGGACTCGGCGTTACGAGCTCCATGATCTTGTAAAGGATAATTACAATTCTTTAACGCACGATCGTTCGGACGATCGTGACGCGTTTGCGGTCGCATAACTTGAGAACTAACGTTCGAATTTTTCTCTTCGTGACGAGCTGGCTGCAGCTCGTCGAGACATCGCTCAACTGCATGAGCAGGTCGCTTCGCTAGTCGACCAGACTGGCTCGTTGAAACAAGACCACTCGAGGGTGGTCTCGGCTCTCGACCGCGGAGGTGTTCTTCGCATCTCGAAACGGGCTCGTACTGATAGTATGGGCGGAGACGTCCAACCTAAAACGTAGGATGCGTACGCATCTTACGGGCAGCTCAATCGTGTATGCGTTGCCCATTCGGCGCAACACACGAAAAGGACCGATATGCTTGGGCAGTAATTTACTGCTGCCCACGTTTGTCACTGCGTGTTTTGGTAGATTTACTGTAAACAGTAAAACTAAGTCTCCTTCATCAAATGAAAGAACATTTGCTCTTCCATGTGTGTTTGCGTTTCTTTTCTGTCTCTCTAGTGCATCTACAATAGAGTCTTGAACGAAGCGGACAACCTCTTCGCAAGTCAGCAGAAATTCCTCTGCTGATTCATCCTCGTTAACAGCAGTGCGCTTCGTGTGCACTGATGAAAGAAAGTTGTCTTCACCAGTGAGGACGTCATCGTCCTCACTGTGGCAGTCATTGGCGATGATAAATATACCAGCATCGACGTCATCATCATCATCATCGATGTTGATGTGATCGACATCGACATCCATCACGTCGATACCATTGCCGACGTGTGATGACAAGAACCAGATCATTTTTTATTGAGCGAGTCCAACCCCCTTAAACTAGAGTCACATTCTAAAAAGGCGGGTAGAAAAACTTGGATGGCGTAGGCCACTCACGAAGAACGGTGTATGCGTTGTCGACGCATGCACCGAGTTGTTGATGGCAAATTCCGCCATCGGCAAAAACTCACTCCAACTCGTAAACGAGTGGACTATGGGGGGGGGGGATGTTTGTTTAGCTATATTTTTGTGGGGGGGCGGGGAGGGCCTCTTCGGGGGGCCCGGTGGGCAGGGCCCGCCGCCCGTCCGTATATTCGTTGGGGAGAGGGGGTCCTCATCAGACGTGTTCCAAGTTCACGGGAACACGGATTGCCACAGAAGTAATTCCGATGGAAGGGAGTACCGATGAAGACACGAGCACGACCCTGGGCTGTGATTGATTCCGGTACAGCAACAAGATGTACCATCTTGCTGAACCGATCAACAAACACAAGAATACCAGTATTCTTGTAAACGTCTGTGGGAAAGCCAAAGACGAAGTCCATCGATACGGACTGCCAACACTCTGCCGGAATCGGAAGAGGCTGCAAGGGTACGCGGGATGAAGGACTAGGCTTCACTCGTTGACAAAATTTTCAAGCGCAAATGTATTTGCGCACAATTTCAAAATGGCGATGCCAGTAGAAGTCACGACTTACCGTGAAGTAGGTCTTTTCTCTACCGCGATACCCACTTGTTGGGGCATCGTGACGCTCATGCATGATGCACAATCGCAAGTCATCATGAGAGGGAACGACGACACGAGGTGTGTCACCGGTGATTGCTGTACATTACAGCAGTCCATCACGAACCAAATACCGTTCGGTTGAAAAGCTATATTGAGACATCAAACTTCTCAAAGATTGACTGCATGGATTGGACACGTAATTTATCAATAGCAGAAGAGACTCATCTTCTGCGTATGCTTTTCGCACGCCGTCGAGCAGACTCGACGACGGAACACTCACTGTTAGCGTTGCTACATTAGGATCACCCGGACAGTTAGGTTGAGCAGTCGGCTCGAAATCGGGCCGACGCGAAAGAGCATCAGTGACGACATTAAGTCGTCTTGGTTTAGACTCGATGGAGAAGTTGTAATCCGCGAAGAAAGACAGCCACCTTGCCATTCGTTGCGAGAGGTGTGGGCTTTTTTACGGCCGTGCGTAATGACGCATGGTCGGTACAAACGATGAAGGGCCTATCTCCAAAAAGACATACCCGAAACTCAGCCAGTCCATATTTCATGGCAAGGAGCTCATTTTCATGCAATGGATAATTACGCTCAGCTGCTTGCAGCTGACGCGATTGATAACAGACGAAGCGCTCAACGCCGTCTGAGTCGTACTGCATTAAGGCGCAGCCGATAGCAAAATCGCTGGCGTCACAGACCACATGGAATGGTCTGTCCTGGTCTGAAATTGCCAACACAGGCGATTGTATCAAGCTTTTCTTGATACCTTTAAAAGAGTTCTGACACTCAGCACTCCATGACCACCTCTAGTTTTCTTCAACAGACGAGAGAGATGTACGGTCATCTCGGTGTAGTTGCGTGAGTACTTGTGCAAGCACGCCGCCAAGCTAAGGAACTTTGAAGTCCCTTGACGTCGACTGGCACAGGCCAGTCGCTAATCGCCTTGATCTTTTCCAGATCAGGGCGCACATCATTTTTACCCACGATGCAGCAAAGAAGTGGTATCTCGTTCGCTGCTAATATGCACTTCTTGAGGTTCGCGAACAGCTTATACTCTTGCATTAGTGTAAAAACCTTCTGGACGTGGATTCTATGCACCTTTACGTCCGTCTTTCCATCCATAGCCCGGCTATTGGACGAAGACATCGTCGAGGCAACTCGGTGCGAAATCGCTCACCGATCGCAACAGATTCGTAACACATCTGTTGAACGTTGCAGTGGCGTTACTTAGCCCCTGTGGCATCACTAGCCACTCCCAGATCATACCGCTGGGGGTGCTCACTGATGTGTACGGGATGTCCCGTTCGCGCATGAAGATCTGATAAAATCCATCCATCAGATCCATGGACGAAAAGATGGTACTTTTTTCCATACCATCTATGATGGCGTCCTTCCTTGGTATCGGCGTTTGAGCCGGTACCGTTGCAGCGTTCAATTTGTTGAACGCGTACACTATCAGCCACCCTCCTGTGGCCTTTCGCACACAGAAGGTCGGAGAGCTGTGTGGGGATGTTGATCCCCTCACATGACCAGCCGCTAAGCGATCGGCAAAGAATTTGTCGATCGCTGTGACCAGTTCACGAGGCAGTGGTCACTGCTTCATGACAAAGTACTTCGAACCGGGTTTTATTTCGATCTCATGCCGAGTGCCTTTGTCCTTAGGTATCTCGCATGGCACGGATTCAGTAAAAACATCCCTGAATTCAACCAAATCCTTATACAAAGGATTTGTCTTCAAAGACTTCCAAGATTGAGACGTGTATGGCTCAATCCGGGTCTTCTCATCGAAGACACTCTCTTCCATCTATGAGCTACTGAGAACCCGTTCGTCCTTAGCAAACACTTGTGCCGAACGAATATCGGCGACATACTCGTCCTCTGTGACGAGTACGCAGATCTGCTTGATCTTGTCACTACGCAGATCTCGCAAGAATCTTTTAGATTCTAGTGTTGGCAACTTGATTACCTCCGAATATGACTTTGGAGTTGCAGCCAGATCAAGTGTATAAGCGCCTACACTTGATCCGTCATTCACTAATACATTCACTGTCTCGGTGATTTCCTGGGAAAACACATCCGCAGGTCGTTGGGGATCCACATTCTCAACGTAACTCTCTCGGGAGTTATCGCTCTCAGGAACGCTGGAAATTTCATCTAATTCGTGTACTGACTGTGGGTGCACTACTACAGTCACGTCCTCTTTGATCGACTCTCTTTCAGGCGATTGGGCTTGCTCTACTATCGACTCTGTGACAGCCGATCTCGCTTCAACGTGTTGTTCATCCTGAACAACACTACTTTCTCTTCTTGGATGCACCCTGCTTGGTGTGCATCC